TCGTCGGGTCCTGGAAGCCGTGGCACAGGTCCCTCATGATGGCGATCATAATCTTGACGAGGTGTTCGTCTCGCCACTCCAGCTGTTGTTCTCGTTTACGCTGCAGGTGTCTGAGGAAGGTGTTCTTGACAGCAAACCCCCCCGGGATCATGATCTTCCACTCCCGCGCGTCCCACCACATGTAGTTGGCCTTCACTTCCCGGGGCATCCAGGGCTCCGCCTTCAGGTGAGAGAGGAGAGTTTTGCAGGCCAGGTAAATGCGACGTTCTTGTGGATCCAGGTGGCTCAGGACCTCCGCCTCGGCACCAGCAAAGCTACACCGCCACTCACCGTCATCAGTGTTGCTCAGGTACACCTGGCTGATGTTGACAGGTGTTAGTGGTGGTCTGATTATCTCTTTTGTTGGCCACGGCACAGCCAACACGGGCACCAAGTCGACGCCAATCAATAGAAGGGGGTACTCCGCCCCCTGCCAAGCGAAGGACAGTGCCACGCCCACTTGTGTTCTGGTCACCCCCGGAGTCACCAGACTCAGGCGATAATCCTCAAGTGTGTGAGTCTCTAGGCAGCTCCTCACCAACTTGTAAAACCTATTTATTAAAGTCTTCCCTTGTGAACCTCGGTGGTCCGTCTTGACCAGAACCTTCAGTCGGTGACCAGTGAGGGCGGCTTGTTGTGGGTCTTGTTCCACGATCTCCACACTAACTACCGGGACGTCGGACAACACAACACTCAGGTCGAACTCATCTGGTGCATAAAGACGAGTGCCATCTGCTGAGCTGCCAACGGTAGTGAGTCGTCCCTTGTACAGCTTGTCAACACCACTCACTTTATCCATGATCTTCTGCACCTCTCCGGTCACCACCTCCTTCACTTCCTGCTTCACGTTTACTGAAATCAACGCTAAAGTTATCAAGATTTTCGAAAATATCTCCTACGTTAACAAGATTAAGGAGCTTCTTGATACCTTCAGAAGGATCATTGAAGACTTGAGCATCTCAGGGTCGACCTCAGTCTTCCTGTAGCGGTACAAGTAGTCCTTGAAGTTGTGCTGAATGTCACTAGGTGTCGTTTGTGCCTTACTCACCGGTTCTTGTTCCACCAGGTGCGGCTCTAACTGCTGGTATGTTACGTCATGACCAAACATGGCAGCAAAGTGGGACGGCGTGTGGCCATATCTGTCCCGCTGTAGTGGCGTCGCTCCAAGACTCAACAGACCAAACAGCCAGAGTTGCCGTGGGAGGCCGCCTGGTGGAGAGCAGTGGACTCATGTGGCATCAACCACCACGTCAACCTTCACACCCACCACGGTGACCAGGAGGTATGTCAGCTGCAGCAGTCCTCGTCGACAAGACACCAGCAGGCTGTAGGAGAGGATGGTCAGTCTGTGTGGGGAGGTCACTGGTGGTGGCTGGGCAGCAGCTGCTTGGTAACGTATAAACAAACCGTCGTACTCGTCCACGACCTCCCGCAGCTGTTCCTTCTCTTCTTTATCTTTAACTTTTTCTATTAATTCTTCTAAGTGTTGTCTCTCTTCTTGGTAGATGCTCTGAAATTATCCCCCAGAAGAATGTTTATGTAAGTTTGTCTTGTGTGAAGATTTATTACAATATTTTGTGAAATATTTGGGAAAACATTTATTGCGGGAGCTGACGGAGGACCTCACCTGTTCCACTTGTGTTCTGTGGGGTAGAGGCAACAGGTGTAGGGGCAGCCTGCCTGAGGGAGGGGATGTAGAGACAGGCCCTCATGTGCTTCACCATCAGCGTGGCCAGATGCCAGTGTTGGCGGTCCAGTGCCGCGTGTAGAGGCGTCGTGCCGGAGTCGTCCTGCAGGTAGCACTTGGCACCTGCTTGTCTGAGGAAGGAAGCTGTCAAGGGACAGTTGTTGGTGGCGGCCACGACCATAAGGGAGGTGAGGTTGGTGTGTGGGAGAGGCCAGCTGGTGACCCAGGTTGTGGCGCCCCTCAGGCTCCTCACCAAGTGGTCAATGCCTTCACCAAGAGCCGAGTCTTGACCCACACGCCGCCGCTCTGCTTCCAGCCCCTGGGCCATATGCTGCACGACATTTTAAAACTAAAAAACCATCCTCATATCTGCCTCCTGACTTGACCTAGATAAAACCTGACCTCTTATCTGGCCTCCTGACCTGACCTAGATAAAACCTGACCTCTTATCTGACCTCCTGACCTGACCTCTCATCCCTCACCACCCCTACTACCTCCCCTGATAAAACCTGACCTCTCATCTACCTCCTGACCTGACCTAGATAAAACCTAAGCTCTCATCTGTCCTCCTGACCTGACCGATAAAACCTGACTCTCATCTACCTCCTGACCTGACCTAGATAAAACCAAGTCTCATCTGTCCTCCTGACCTGACCTAGATAAAACCTGACCTCATTTTCCTCCTCACCTGGTTAAGTATAATAATAAAAAATGTTAAATTTAAGTAAAAATAATAGTAAGACACAACACCGTTTAGTGAGTCTCGCTGGCCTACACAAGTCAACCTTACACCCTGGTGGAGGAGGAGGTAACTAACCCTGTTAACTCTTGGGATGTGTTATGTGTTCATACCACTCGTGTTATTAAACGTATCTAATATGTGGTGCTGGGAATAAGACATGTAGTGGTAAGAATAAGACACAGTAGTGGTAAGAATAAGACATGTAGTGGTAAGAATAAGACATGTAGTGGTAAGAATAAGACATGTAGTGGTAAGAATAAGACATGTAGTGGTAAGAATAAGACATGTAGTGGTAAGAATAAGACATGTAGTGGTAAGAATAAGACATGTAGTGGTAAGAATAAGACATGTAGTGGTAAGAATAAGACATGTGTTACTGGCACTACCCAACACCACCAACTTACTCGAGTGATGAGAACTCGTACTCTGATAGTGACGTCATGAGTGCGCCAGGCCAGCTGCAGGAGAGAGAGTCCTCTGGAACAGGTGGTAAGAGGCGCCCCAGCAGCCACCAGCAGACTCACTATCTTGGGTCTGTTGCAGGTGATGGCGAGGACAAGGACGCTAGTGTAGAAGTCGCCGACGGGTTCAAGAGGCGACCCAGAGCGTAGGAGGAGAGAGGCGGTCATCACGTTGTCACCAGCGCTAATCACCGCCAACAACCTACCATACAGGTCAACTGCTGCCTCTCCTGATTGCTGGGGGGGGGGGTTAACACTGTCAGCAGGTGGCTGGGAGGTTAACACTGTCAGCAGGTAGTGGCTGGGAGGTTAACACTGTCAGCAGGTAGTGGCTAGGAGGGAGGTTAACACTGTCAGCAGGTAGTGGCTGGGAGGCTAATTGCCAGCAGGTAGTGGCTGGGAGGGTAACACTGTCAGCAGGTAGTGGCTGGGAGGTTAACACTGTCAGCAGGTAGTGGCTGGAGAGGTTAACACTGTCAGCGCGGGTAGTGGCTGGGAGGGTTAACACTGTCAGCAGGTAGTGGCTGGGAGGAGCACTGTCGGCAGGTGTGGCTGGGAGGGTTAACACTGTCAGCAGGTAGTGGCTGGAGGCTACTGTCAGCAGGTAGTGGCTGGGAGGGTTAACACTGTCAGCAGTAGTGTGGGGACAGCAGGTGTGGCTGGAGGGTAACGTCAGCAGAGGCTGGAGGTTAACACTGTCAGCGGGTAGTGGCTGGGAGGGTTAACACTGTCACGGGTAGTGGCTAACTGCACCTAACCCTTTGTGAATTAATTAATATACAACAATAAACTCAAGTATTACACGATAGCACTCAAACTATAAGAATAAGAAATATATCTAATGTTTATATAATTATTTTAATATATATATTTTTTTATTTTAACTAAACTTCGACTTGATTAATTTCCTCATTTTATATTATCATTTGTTAATGAATGTTTTGAATGTGATTTATTATAGGTTAGCCTAGTGTCGTGACACAGGTAAGACCACAAGAGAGTGTCAGGATAAAAGGTAAGAGGGGCAAGTGTTACCTACGATAATAATTAATATCTTCCCTTAGAACCATAAATCAACACCTGTATCTTCCCCAATTAACTTACCTGAGGAAGATGTTCATTCCTGATCATATTAGCCAGGTGGTACTCTCTTTGCCTCGCCAGGTCAGCGGGGGACTCCCCATCATAAGTGACCACATGAGGCAGTACTCCACACGAGATCAATGTTTTTTTGGCTATATCAGTGTGACCCAGTTTGGCCGCCCAGGGGGGTCAGACCTGAGGCATCTTGGTAGTGGAGGTCTCGGATCTCATGACAAGCTTCTAGTAACTGAGGTGCGTTGGCGGGGCTCAAGACCACGTCCTTTGTCTGTATCCAAGTGAGGGTCTTCCTTTCACGCTCATACTCCTGCCAGCTTCTGCTCTATAATAACAACAGTACCATTATGGTCATCAACAGTACCATTATAGTCATCACCAGTACCATTATAGTCATCACCAGTACCATTATAGTCATCACCAGTACCATTATAGTCATCACCAGTACCATTATAGTCATCACCAGTACCATTATAGTCATCACCAGTACCATTATAGTCAATAACAGTACCATTATGGTCATCAACAGTACCATTATAGTCATCACCAGTACCATTATAGTCACCAGCACCATTATAATCATCACCAGCACTATAGTCATCACCAGTATCATTTTCAAATTGTGCAATTATAGTCATCACCAGTACCATTATAATCATCACCAGCACCATTATAGTCATCACCAGTACCATTATAGTCATCAACAGTACCATTATGGTCATCAACAGTACCATTATGGTCATCACCAGTACCATTATGGTCATCACCAGTACCATTATAGTCATCAACAGTACCATTATGGTCATCAACAGTATCATTATAGTCATCAACAGTACCATTATAGTCATCACCAGTACCATTATAGTCATCACCAGTACCATTATGGTCATCACCAGCACCATTATAGTCATCACCAGTACCATTATAGTCATCACCAGTACCATTATAATCATCACCAGCACCATTATAGTCATCACCAGTACCACCCCTGACCTACCATGATGGTATGGGTAGGAGTGGGCGTGGCTCTCTCCCTCTTCTTGGGCATCTTCCGTATGAGCCAGGCGGTGTTGTGTCGCCCCCAGGCCTCAGCCACCTCCTCCGGGGAGAGACCATCGTCGTCCACGTCCGCCAGATCCAGACCGGCCTCCAGAAGGTGCTGTACGGCTCTCTCGTTCCCGCTGATGGCCGCCAGGTGCATCGCCGAGAAAGAAACATTATTGAGGGCGCTTCTGTTACACCCTGAGTCCAGCAATAACTGCATCACGTCGGTGGAGCAGCCCAGCACAGCGAAGTGGAGGGGAGTGCGTAGCGCCTTATCCCGAGCGTCCAGGATCGCTCCAGCCTTGATGAGACGCTGAGCGCACATCAGGCGGCCCCTCCTGGCGGCCAGGTGTAGCGGCGTCACACCTGCAACACCCACCACTTGAGGTCAGTCATCTCCCCACCACACACTTCATATAATGACCTCACTAGTAAATACATACATACATACATACATACATACATACATACATACATACAGTACATACATATATACATACATACATACATACATACATACATACATACATACATACATACTCACCGTGTATATCCTTAACGTTAATGTCAGGTGTCCAGGGCAACAAGGCCTCTAACACCTGGTGGTGGCCAAAGTGAGCAGCCATATGTAGAGGCGTGAAGGGGAAGGTGCCTCTATCGTTTACCTCAACACCTGCCTTGAGTAAGTGAGGCACGAGGTGAGCGTGTCCCTGGATGGCTGCCAGGGTGAGGACTGTAGCATCTGGGAGGGCTGAGTCGTCTGGAGGGAGTGTAGCGTTCACATCAGCTCCCGAGTCAATGGCGCTCACTACTTTCTTCTCGTCTCCCTCCTTCACCCCATCCACTAACGCCTGACGGAGAGAGTAACTACATCAGTACTCATTAAACATTCTCGAGTTAGTTATAACGATTCACCCAGTAAACTCCTCTTAGCCAATTACCTTTGTTGTGTTAGCAAAAATATGAAAACAAAGTAGTTGTGTCATCTGAAGGATTACCTGAAGATTAGGCACACTAGTTTATTGCACCTGATGATTAAACACTCTAACGCTTACCTGGGGTGGAGGGTTAGGTTAGGTTAGAATAGGTGAAGTTAGGTTAGGTTAGGTTAGGTTAGGTTAGAATAGGTGAAGTTAGGTTAGGGTGTTGAATCATCACGTGTAATAAGCTGGGGTGTCTAATCTTCACTTGATCCCATCTTAGTAACTGCACATCCTACTCCCACCTTCAGGAGGCTGATGTAAACAGACTATTAATGAGATCACTTGACCCTGACCGTCACCCAGCTTGTGTTACGAGATCATATCAAATAATAGTTATTATTTTTATTTACATCCCAAATTAATACTTATTAGGAAAATAATTGCCAGTCAGTCATAGGAAACAAGAGAGGCTACCAACATCAACAAACTTACCTGAGTAGCGACGGTGTATGGGGCAGTAAACATGATGATTGTTAACAAACTCTACGGACCCTTCAGAGATAGACAGAATACTAGGCACCCGTCTCACTGCCGTTCAGAACATGTTTGATATTTGTAGACTGTCTCCTCTAACCCATTAACTTCGGGAACGCCACTTTTAATATTGTTGTTGTCTGACGCTGGACGATTTGCCAGTACACGAGGGGTTAAGGAGACGTTGGAGGGACAATCAATACACAATGCTCAGAGCTGTTTTTCAGGTAATGTTAAAGAATTTATTACTGCCACTCAGAACACCACACGTACACAGGTACTTCAACCACTCAGAACACTATCACACCCCTTGCCGATAATCAGACCACAATAGCAACACAACACAGTACTGATCCCCACAAGCAGCACATCTAATACTGTAACATAGCAACGCAACACAACACAGCACAACACAAATCACTACCGCCACCTCAGCTCACTACACCGTCAACTACACCACAACACTTATACGGACATCCTTCAAACAGGTAGCGTCAGCTGAAGTGGCGTATATCGAATAAAAATGAAGTGAATCAGGCAACATCATCCACTTCGACCGGCTTTAAGCAGTTAGTAAAGTCAGTGGTCGCGTCTGAACATTTTCTGTGGTGAATGAAGATATATTGTTTTGTTCCAGAAATTTAGTTGAATTAATAAATAATTTAGTACTTTGAAGAGGTGTGTCCGTGTGAGCGACCTGTAGAGGAACCGCGAATCTAAAAAAAAAAATATATGAACGTTACTGGCACAGCTTTAGGGGGGTAAGTCCCTTTCCTGAGGTATTGTTTGTGGATATTGTCTCTGTAAAGTACTATAGACAGTCAAATAGATAAATAAATAAAGATACACAGATTAATACAGAGGAAAGATAAAGAGAAAGAGAGATACAGACATAAGAGAGAGACATATCTAATAAATTCGTCACACAAACAATAACAGAGAGTAAGTCTTTTCACCGCTGGGACTAATATATTTATTTACATACATATACACTGATGTGTGTTGGAAACTATCATGGTTATGCAAGAGTAATGAAAAGAATTGTATCGGGAGTTACAAAGAGAAAGAAGGGAGGGAGGGAGGGAGGAAGACCTTGACAGGGTGACACAAACTCTCTTCTCATGCATCTGGCATAACAATATCTCCGGGGAAGACTTTTTCTCCCCGGATATCACCCTCCCTCCCTCCCTACCCCTCCCCTAAGACTGTCTCTCTCCTACCTCTCTATCTGTCAACAATATTCCTCCTGCTTCACTACATCACAGTGGAGAATGAGTGTTATTATGGAGACTAAATCAAGACAATGTGCACCAACAGTACACACAACAACTAATAACATTTACCAACAACAACAAAACATTTGTTTATAAGTGTAAATAATAATTATAATTTTAATCTTAGCTAAAATTTGGTAGAAATACAGAATATTTAGCGCTATAATATTTATTCGGTAAAATTGTCATACAAGTTTACAATTGGATAAGCAGGTATATAAATTATACAGGTACAGTATACAGGTCAGCACGGATACACTGTACATCGGAGCTCTGATGGAGGCTCGACTATGTGTTGGCTCTCCAGACACAAAGCGAGATATGAGCCAGCACTGATGACGAACGGAATTTGACGATGACTCAATCGGATCGTCGTCATGAGTCAAAGCGTAAGACTCAGCTGAAGATTAACTACCTTAATGCTAACTTAACCTAACCTAAACCTGTAATGTTGACTGTATGCTGTAATGTTGACTGCTGTAATATTGACTCTATGCTGTAATGTTGACTCTATGCTGTAATGTTGACTGTATGCTGTAATGTTGACTCTATGCTGTAATGTTGACTCTATGCTGTAATGTTAATTGTAGGAGACTGCTAATGTAGAGTTACTTCCACTAGGGTATCATGTACTGTCAGTCTGTGTTGCTTTCTTGGGAATTTCTGGCCACCTCCTTTCAGCTATTTCAGCTGAGTCTGTGTTAAAGAGATTTTAAAGATAATAATAGGCACGGTACAGCAGCTGTCTGAATACAATATTATGGTACAGCAGCTGTCTGAATACAATATTATGGTACAGCAGCTGTCTGAATACAATATTATGGTACAGCAGCTGTCTGAATACAATATTATGGTGCAGCAGCTGTCTGAATACAATATTATGGTGCAGCAGCTGTCTGAATACAATATTATGGTGCAGCAGCTGTCTGAATACAATATTATGGTGCAGCAGCTGTCTGACTACAATATTATGGTGCAGCAGCTGTCTGAATACAATATTATGGTGCAGCAGCTGTCTGAATACAATATTATGGTGCAGCAGCTGTCTGAATACAATATTATGGTGCAGCAGCTGTCTGAACACAAATATCCAATACCTTGAGCAATTGTGTTCAGCAGTGGTTGGTTTTTCCTCGCACATGACGTCAGAGAGTTTCTACCATAACGCAGTATTTTTTGTAACCTATTTTTAGCTATTATATCCTTCCAAGAGAGAGTGACAGATCCGGGTTTTATTAAGTAATGTATTGTTGAATAAGACAATAGCGTGAGGAGGCGAGTGAAGATGAGAGAGGTAGAATGAGACAAAGAGTTACAGGAACCAGGTGTGTGAGGCACGGCGGTCGCAGTTTATATATAAAGGCAACCACTGCTGAAACACCTTGCAGTCTTACAGCGTCTCCCGGCAGAGAAGGAAGCCATGAACGTCTGTCTGTTGTTGTTGGCTGTTGTGTCGGCTACTGTGGTCCAGACATGGGCTGAGGGTGAGTACATTATGGCCACTGTTTCTGATAGTAGTCATTATTATTGTTAATAGTGTGTGTGTTGTGAGAGTAGAACATCTGTAACTGCATCTGTAACACACGTCAAGCTGTAACTGTACTGTAACCGACTGTAAGCTGCATTACAAGGAAGTCACCTTCACCGAGGCCAGAGCATACCTGCAGGGTCCTGAGAAATAAAGTTTGCTGAATTTTTTTTTTGTGGCAGAGAAATGTATTGCGTCTTTGACCTTCAGATGTAATGAGAACACAACGCAATACTGTAACACCACTATACAACATTGTTCTAATACTACACACACACACACACGTCTCTCTCTCTGATACAGCACACACCACAAAGAACCATCACTCAGTAGAAGTATCGCCCCTCGGTCTCGCCAAAGGGTCTTACCTCCTGAGAACACAATGACCCTGATGATTGTTCCCCCCAAGCTATGTGTGTGTGTGTGTGTGTGTTGCCGGCCGGCCTCCTACAGGTAACTAATTATCTCCTGGCCTCTTCCTCAGGGGTGTTGTTTGAACCAAGGTCCAACACAGACACCTGTACACTCGACACAGGTGGTACAGGGCGATGTGTCGACGTGCGTGAGTGTCCACCTGTTGCCGAGACAATCGGGGTGAAGATGCCTGTACTGTGTGGCTTCAATGACAAGTATCCCATAGTGTGTTGCCCCATCCCTGTAGGTAAGTAAGTCCACACATACACTGAGAAATCCATCAATTGAATAGATAAAGATAAATGTGTGTGTGTGTGTGTGTGTGTGTGTGTGTGTGTGTGTGTGTGTGTGTGTGTGTGTGTGTGTGTGTGTGTGTGTGTGTGTGTGTGTGTGTGTACTACTGCGTCTGTTTGTGTCTCATGTAACTACAGTATATATTTATCGGTTAAGCACGGGAGGGAGGAACGCGACTACCAACCACTTCTCAATGTTACAGATGTGGTGGCGGAACCCAGCCTGGATTATTCTCCCCCTCACGTAAGCTTTGGTGAGTCACTGTTGATGGTTACTGTTGAATACATTACTTTTACTCATCTTCTCTCCCTATATTCCTACATATACTCATGGTGAATATATCTCTCTTACTGATTCACCCTCCATTAACGGGGTATTAACTTCACTGGGGTATTATCTTCACTTGGGTATTAACTTCACCAGGGCATTATCTTCACTTGGGTATGTGATCATGTTGTCTTGTGCTTGCAGACTGTGGGGTCACTTTCGACAGGACCGTGCCGTTGTCTTACGCTCTTGGTTTTACAAGTGACAGCAACGGTAAAATACTTCGTCCTGGACACAATTTAACTGGGCTTAGCTTCCCAGGGCTATTGACAGGGCTAACACCAGGCGTGATACCAACAGGAGTTATACCAAGTAGACTACCAACAGGACTTACACCGGGCGGGCGTTTCCAGAAGCGGTCACTGGCACCGGTCAATACTCGACCCCCCATCGACCCGGACAGACCCGTAGTTGGCGGCAAGACGTCTAACATCAACGCCTGGCCCTGGATGGTAAGTGCTGTCAATATATCCGTTCATTGTAGAACTTTTAAATAGCCCCGCCTTCTTTTTTCTCGTCTTGGCTTGTGATTGGCCAGTTAGAAACCAAATAATGAAGTGCTGTAGATTGACTCAAATTTGCTACACTGCCACATCAACCAATCACAAAACCCAATCTTGTTAATAATCTACATAAACGATCTAGATACTGGGATGAGCAGTGACATAAGCAAGTTTGCGGATAACACCAAAATAGGGCGGCAGATTAATTCAGGGCAGGATGCACATGCACTACAGGAGGATTTAAATAAACTGCAGGAGTGGTCAGAAAAATGGCAAATGAAATTCAACCCCAGCAAGTGCAGCGTACTTAATATTGGAAGAACAAATACTGTCAATGTATACAGCCTTAACAACATCAACCTAGAGAAGTCGACTTGTGAAAGAGACCTAGGGGTACTTGTAAGCCCGGACCTACGGCCTAGAAAACAGTGCGTTAATGTTCTAAATAAGGCAAATAGAGTATTAGGTTTTATATCTAGAAGTGTAAGTAATAAGAGTGCAGAGGTCTTATTGCAACTATATCTTGAGCTAGTCAGGCCGCTCCTCGATTATGCGGTTCAGTTCTGGTGTCCTTATTATAGAATGGATATCAATTCACTGGAGTCGGTGCAGCGAAGAATGACAAAAATGATTCCGGGACTTAGAAACCTTCCATATTAAGATAGGTTAAAGAAACTAAACTTGGATTCCCTAGAAAGACGAAGAGTGCGGGGAGATATGATAGAAGTATTTAAGTGGGTGAAAGGAATCAATAAAGGGGATATAGATAAAGTTCTTATAATATCCGAGCAGGATAGGACTCGCAGCAACGGATTTAAGTTGGATAAGTTTAGGTTTAGGAGGGAGATAGGAAGGAACTGGTTCACAAATAGGGTGGTGGACGAGTGGAACAAGCTTAACAACTTTGTAGTAAGTGCTGGAACGCTGGAAAATTTTAAAAGGAGGCTAGATAGATTCATGGATGATAGAGAGTGGTAGTAACTCTCGACAGGAGCTGCCATGCACAGGTCAACCGGCCTATTACAGACTCCTTATTTTCTTATGTTATGTTCTTATGTTCTTAAAAAACCTTATATGTCATATTGATGGGCGGGGCTATTATCTTCAATTATGTTCCTCTTGCCAAGCGTCACGTCGGGAGGTAAACAAACAGATTATTCACCGTCTTGTGTTCCTGCAGGCGCTGCTGGGGGAGAAGAAAAAAAATGAGACTATCACCTGGTTCTGTGCTGGGGCTCTGATCAATGAATACTGGGTCCTTACAGCCTACCACTGCTTCCTGTTTGAGTAAGTGAGAAGTTTTAAACAGTTTTTTTTTACGAATTGTTTACCTGGAGACGTGAACTCGTGTAGGTATAAGTTTTGCCACAGTCTAGGCAGGTCACTTCCTCTCTCTCTACCTGCTTTAATAATCTCAATCATATATCACCTGAAGATTAACTCCCCCTAACGTTAACCTAACCTAAACTCTCGTATATTTTCTTTCAAGTGAAAATTCTACTGTTAGAGCCTATAATGACGTCATATTGTTCTTCACAGACTATAATGACGTAATGATCGAGCCAATAATGACGTAATAGTGTTCTTCACAGACTATGATGACGTAATGATCGAGCCAATAATGACGTAATAGTGTTCTTCACAGACTATAATGACGTAATGATAGCCAATAATGACGTAATATCATTGTTCTTCACGTCAATCACTTCATGTTACAGAGACATCAACATCGTACGTCTGGGTGAACATGACTACAATACCGCCAGTGATGAGGCTGTCCCTAAGGATTACACTATTGACAAGGTCGTCTTACACCCAGAGTTTAAGTTCCCAGCCAGCTACCATGACTTGGCCCTTGTTAAACTGGATCGTCAAGTTATCATACAGGTAAGATTACTACCCCTGTGTGTGTGTGTCTTACTTAGTGCTTCATACAGGTAAGATTACTACCCCTGTGTGTGTGTGTCTTACTTAGTGCTTCATACAGGTAAGATTACTACCCCCTGTATGTGTCTTACTGAGTGCTTCATGTTATCAATGCTTCATGCTGCTGTAGCCGATATTCTACACGATATTCATCTTAGACATATGCCTTTATGAAATCTGGGTATTATTATGAGTATCGAGAAGTATTGTATCAGGAGTGAGGAAGATAAAGATAAATGTGTCCTTCATCTTCCAGGGACACATACGACCCGTGTGTCTGCCGTGGGGAGAGGACACTAAGACTCAGCTGGAGGGGCAGAAGGTGACTCTTACTGGCTGGGGTAACACGGCTTATGGTTAGTCTTGCACCTTGCTCTTCTGTCTGTGTGTGTGTGTGTGTGTGTGTGTGTGTGTGTGTGTGTGTGTGTGTGTGTGTGTGTAAAAGTAAGATAGACTGAATATAACTTAGTCTATTCTTCTTGTTAATATGACTAGAACTATATTAAGAAATTTCACTTAGAAGATACAAGAAAGAGACTTGGTCAAATTAGAGATATATGATAAGGTTAGGAAACAGTTTTGGGTTTAATTTGTACTGACAGATATCTAGGTTAAGGGAAGCTGTTATTATTTATGTTATCTTTGTTTGTAGTTGTTAAATACATATAAATAAATGAAAATGGGTTCTATTGGTGTTTGAGGGGGGGGGAGGGTTAGGGGCAGTGTGGATACAGTACACTGATTATTAAGCCTCTCGTATATAAGATGATATGGTTGGTACTGTACTCAACCGTCCTTAGTTCCTCAATACATGTCACGTACCTATTTTCAGCTAGATCGACTAGGGTTACTCCTGGGGCGGGGGGGCTATAACCTACATATAAATGATGATGATGCATGGATACCTGCCACCTACCTGTAATTATGGACTCCAGATGACTCCTTGTCTCAGGTGTTCAGGAGATAACAGTATTATCAACACCTGTTTCCTCCCCCCAGGTGGCTCCCGCAGCTCAGCGCTACAAGAGGTGGAGGTGACAGTGTTCCCGACGCCAGAGTGTGAAAAGTCCTACTCAGATTTACGAGACTATCCCTTTAACTGGCCCCGAGGTTTGGGAGATGAGGTGATGTGTGCTGGTGATAAGGCCGGAGGGAGAGACGCCTGTCAGGTAAGGGGTGTTGTGTTTACTCTTTTAGGTTGTGACTGTGAGTTAGAATGTTGTTATAATGACACAATAACCTTATTCGTGTGTAGTAGTTATCAGGGGTGACTTGTTGTTGTGTATGTTAGAATGAGATAACACTATAATAATCTTGTTTGTGTGTTTGTGACCATCAGGGTGACTCTGGTGGCCCCATAGTCACGAAAGACTCCTCCAATAGCTACACCTTGGCTGGGATCGTGTCCTATGGTTATGGCTGTGGTAAGAAGAAGTACCCCGGCCTATACGTCAACGTCCGTCACCTGCCTTATCTGTCGTGGATCAAGAGCATCGCGTTCAAGTGATCCACCATTAACCATACGATGACCAAGACCACATTAACCAGTCCCTACCTTAACTATTCCCAGTCTTAATCCTCCTCCTCCTCCTCCTCCTCCCAACAAGAATATTTCCAGCATCTTATATATATTCTTTATTTTTATTTATTTATTTATTTCATCTGAGTTTTCTTCTCTATCTGTCTTATTATCTTATTTACCTGTTCCTGATTATTATCGTTTAACTTCACTCTGGTGATGGTGATGACAATTAACCTACTACCATGATGACAGTTAACCTACCATGATGACAGTTAACCTACCATGATGACAGTTAACCTACCATGATGACAGCTACCCTACCATGATGACAGCTACCCTACCATGATGACAGTTACCCTACCATGATGACAGTTACCCTACCATGATGACAGTTACCCTACCATGATGACAGCTACCCTACCATGATGACAGTTACCCTACCATGATGACAGTTAACCTCCCATGATGACAGTTAATCTACCATGATGACAGTTATCTTACCATGATTTTTAGTTATCCTACCATGATGACAGTTACCCTACCATGATGACAGTTAACCTACCATGATGACAGTTAACCTACCATGATGACAGTTATTTTACCATGATGTTTAGTTACCCTACCATGAGGTTTAATTATCCCACCACGATGTTTAGTTAACCTACCATGATGACAGTTAACCTACCATGATGACAGTTAACCTACCATGATGACAGTTACCCTACCATGATGTTTAATTATCCCACCATGATGTTTACTTAACCTACCATGATGACAGCTACCCTACCATGATGACAGCTACCCTACCATGATGACAGCTACCCTACCATGATGACAGCTACCCTACCATGATGACAGCTACCCTACCATGATGACAGCTACCCTACCATGATGACAGCTACCCTACCATGATGACAGCTACCCTACCATGATGACAGCTACCCTACCATGATGACAGTTACCCTACCATTATGACAGTTACCCTACCATGATGACAGCTACCCTACCATGATGACAGTTACCCTACCATTATGACAGTTACCCTACCATGATGACAGCTACCCTACCATGATAACAGCTACCTTACCATGATGACAGTTACCCTACCATGATGACAGCTACCCTACCATGATGACAGTTACCCTACCATGATGACAGCTACCCTACCATGATGCTTAGTTACCCTACCATGTATTACAGATCTACGTCAGCTTGGGAGAATTTGATCCATAATAAATGAATAAAAATCACACTTGTTTATGTTACTAAGTGATATAAAATGGCTTCAGTTTATCATTTGTTGTTTTATAATGAAGGGGAGAATATCAAGAGTGACAAATACATAGAGAAAACCCACTAATACAGTCACTCAAAAACACCATCTATAACAAACTGTGTTGAGAAAAAATATGACATTGGACGAAGGATTTTGATAACCCAACCGAGACAACGGGAGTCGTAGTGCTCATTCTGAAATACATCGATCACCCCAAGTAAAGATAGTTCTTTAAGTGAGTCTACAAGTAAAACAAACAAACAAGACAAAACAGAATGGTAGTTTTAAGTTAAATTCCTACTAAAACTTTCCTAAATAATATGCCTTGCAATAATTACACTAATAACTTATCTTTTAAGGTGTATACAGGTCAGCCACTGAAGAGAAAAAGTATCCAAATATCACCGAGAATATTGTGGAAGCAGCTCCAACGTGCATTACTCAGTCAAGTTTTGCCGCCATATATTATTGGTTGATGGCGGGAAGCTAAGGTTCACTGGTGGTCATTGTCGGGACTACAGTAACTAGACTGATAGCTCTGACTGCCAAAACAAACTATATGAGGTATACAAGCTTAGTTTACACAATATACATGTCAATAAACAGAATATACATGTCAATAAACAGAATATACATGTCAATAAACAGAATATACATGTAATACTACAATATATTAGTCTCTTTTGTGTGTACTGTTGTAGCGAAGATGAAAACTTACTGACTGATGTACAAACTGAGTGACTGATGAACTGAGTGACTGATTGAGTGACTAACTGTATAACTGACCGAACATAAAAAGTGTAGATCCACAACACAAGTCTCTCTCTCCGGGTGTGAGGAGGTGAAACTCTTTGGGGGAATTTCCATCATAATTGTAAACAGGTTTTTCTTGAGTGAACAATGCTTGCACGTGCTCCTGTGTGTGTGTGTGTGTGTGTAAGATAAACTGAACGATAACATTTCTCATCAAACCGTAGAAAGATGATTTACATTCTGAATCAACCTAATCTTATGAAAAAATAAATACTCAAATAATATTACACAGCAAAATTAATCTAAGGTTAGAATACTGTGTTCTTGGCCCAGGCGAGGTAGGGAGGGTGACGGATGTTGGCGTACAGGCCGGGGAAGTCCGTGAGGCCACAGGCAACCCCACGAGACACGACGCCTGCCATGGTGTATTGCCCAGCTGAGTTCCTCGACACCAAGGGGCCACCAGAGTCACTCTGATGACCACAACACACAACATTATTAATTAATGAACACTATAAACACACTGTAGTAAACAAACATTAATACACCAACAATCTGCTGCTTCAGGTGATGACACAATTACTACCTGGTGAACCTCTAGCTTTGTCCGCCACTAACTCCAACACTTAATTAATAAAGTTAACATAATAAATGAATTATAACTAAACATCCTCGTCCACTGTCAGTCCCACACAAAAAAGAAAAAAATATATAAAAGAAACAAATTACTTGACAATTCACTTATATAACTCCTTTATGGAAGGACAACACCTGCAACACCTCATTAATACACTATAATGTTTGTTACCTGGCAGGCGTCTCTTCCTCCCGCTCGGTCTCCAGCACACACGGTCTCCTTCCCGACGCCTCCCGGCTACTGCCTGGTGTAACTTAACAGAGTAGACTTAGGTTAGGTTAGGTTAGATCTGGTTAGCATGGCTTAACTTAACACAGATGGTTAGTAACTATATCGGCTATGGAAGGAAAGGTTATTTTTGTCACCTTTTTATTCAAAAAATTTATAGTATACATATTTGTTGTAGGAAAATACTATAAAACACTAAATAATAATAATAATAATAATAATAATAATAATAATTATAATAATAATAATAATAATAAGGCTATCGTCACCGCGGGCATTTCCCTATACAATACACAAGGAGCAAGTACTGTATCCCGCAACTGGCATCACTGTTAGTTGACGGTTATTAGTTGTTGTCTTCTGTATATGTCTTGTTCCCGTCTATCTTATCTCCATGATCATTATTTACGCTGTTTATTAACATTTTGGGAGGAACTGTCAAGACTGAAAAGGTTTTAATACTTGTGGTGGCGGAGCACCTGTGGGCGTGCGTCATAAACAGTGAAGTAACAAGAACTGTGAAGTTTGGTTCACCTTCCAGGTAAGTGTAAGGCCACGACACTGTTACCTTTGTTGTTGTGTGGCCAACATTCAAGGTCAGAGTGAGTCAACATGGCCACTGTGGACAACAAATAGACACTGTACATAAGGCTTAAGTCTTTTTACTAACACTCTTGTTGTTCTAAACTGTCCTTCTTCCTGCCGCCAACTGCTTTACTACAAGTCACACTCCTGTAACACCATTAGCAAATTTATGTCTGTATGAGTGTATGTATGTGTGTGAGTGTGTGTACTAGAGCATGTGTGTGAGTGTGTGCACTAGTGCATTTGTGTGTGTGCTTACTAGTGCATGTGTGTGTGTGTTTGTGGGTACGCGTGTGAGTGTGTACACCACCACCAGACCTGGGAGAACAGGTCTGGTGGATAACATTGGGGCGACACGTGACCACTCCAGGAAAATTGTTCAAGCACGCACACACACACACACACACACAAACGCGCCCATCCACACACATACACACACACGTACACACAAACACACAAGCGCACACACAGACGAGCGCACACATACACACTCGCGCTCGCATCTGTGTGTGTGTGAGTTATCTAACATCTAGGGAAATACACGCACAAAAACCGAGTGAGAAAGTCTGGCTGAAGAGATTACACCATAATGACCATTTCCAGAATCTTACTGATGTACACTTTGATAATTCATGCCCAGAACACGTGACGTCATTCCTTGGTTCTTATTGTGTTATTCTGTCTTTAATGTCGAGTATTATAGTAGTTTGTGCCATCCATCAAATAGTACGTCCACGTTGCGTCACTGTTTGTACATGTATTACTATATATTGTGAACAAAGCAGTATGACAGTGAACACATTATTTTAGAGAATTCAGATTATAGCAACTCCAGCAGCAACTCTTATAAGAGGACCCGATCCGGTTGAGGTCTCAGTTGTGTTGTGGATCCAGGTGTGTGAGGAGGGAACATGTGGGGCCATACGCAGGTGTCTCTGTTGTTGGTGGCTCTTGTTGTGTTGGCCACAGTGGCAAACACAAAGAAACCGAGTGAGTATCCTGGTCCACTGTGGCCAATATATGTTGTTAGAATAACTAAACATGGCCACACTGGTCAAGACGTGTGTGTGTGGTGATGGAATAAGTAATCTCAAGGCTGCCACACACTAGCAGGTGGGAGTAACTAATAAACACTCTGTTCTTCTCTCTTCTGCCCCATAAAACGTAAGAACATAAGAATGGAAGTAACTGAAGCGGGCCTGTTGGCCCATACTGGGCAGTCCCATTTACACCCCACCCCTATTGTTCATATATCCATCCAACCATTAGTAAACATACTGGACCTGCCGGCAGGGTCTTCCTGCACAGCTCACACAGGCGGCCCCGGAACCTGTCTTAATATTCGCAAGTGTCCATTTGTTGGTCAGACGTACCGCCTTAACATGCCAGTCATATGTGGGTACAGCGGCGTCTTCCCCATTGTCTGTTGCCTTTCAACTGGAGGTAATTGTCCTATGTCATGTATGGCCTATTATAGACGTCATGCTAATCCTCCGTGAAGGATTGAATTGTTTACAATATTGAAGTCTAGTCTGTCTGTCTGTCTGTCGAGTGTGGCTTCAGTAACTTAAATTATTTTAGACTCAATTACAGTACAGTTGAGTAAAGTATGCGTAAGATAGTTGGACCTTCTCACACACACACACTCACACACACCAGCAGGACTCCCTCATACACATACACTGAAGGATGTGTTAGGACAGGTACTAACGAAGGTGTCAATGTTTCAGGAGACAACACAGCGGCCATCGGGGACATCTCTCCACCTGCCGTCAACTTCCGTAAGTAACCAGAGATCATGTGTCGTCGTAGACTTAATTACACCTTAAATAATTATGCTATTAATTCTTACTTGTATTTATATTAATTGTTTCAATAAAGATACATTATGAGTAGCAACATTTGGTTTACTTACTTACCGACATTACAGAATGTGGAACAAACCCTCAGAGAACTTTTAGCTTGTTACTCGAGAGTCCTGATGAGGAGTTCATCTTGAGGCCTGACGCTACTACCAACAGTCGCCGCAGGAAGCCTAAGATCCCCAAAGGACCCAAGGCTAAGGGACATCGCCCTGGGATTCCCGAGTCCGCTTTTAATGATCCGTCGGCGCGTGTGGAACGTCCACTTTCTTCAGCAAAGCGCAAACAAGGTGGATCGGCCGCAGAAGCGCAAACAGGGACTTTAGGTGATTTTGTTCCCCGCGTAGTTGGTGGAGTAATAGCCGAAAAGAACGCCTGGCCATGGATGGTGAGGAGCTCATTGATTTTCCTTATGAATATATTGACACAATATATAAACACACACATTACAACAGTTATTATAGGTAAGTTTGGCTGCTTCCCGATTCATTATCATCTTATATGGAGTTTCTTTGTCAGTAACTGAGTTTTTCACACTAGACTATGTGATGTAGGAATAAGTTAAAGTAATGGTAATAGCTGCAGGACACTGAAACACAAGGTGAATGTCACAATGTATGTGATTTCTGCAGGGACTGCTCGGGGACACCAATGAACAGGGCAAGATCATGTGGTTCTGCGCAGGAGCGCTCATCAACGAGCAGTGGGTCCTTACCGCTCTTCATTGTTTCTTGACCACGTAAGTAGAGGATGACGTAAATCTTTCCATAAACTTATAATACAAGGTCAGGTGTAACAGGTGTGTGGTCGGTGTCAGACAAACAGTGGCAGGAGGAAGTGAACTATTTAATCTGGTGTAGCTGTCTAGACAGTGTTTGTGGCGGGCTGGTGGGGAATGTCGGGCTCGTGTTTATGGGGAGTAAGTTAAGGCTCTCAGAGATAAACATCCACCTTACTAAAGTGAAGTAGTAACCTTAGAGACTGGTAGTTGATCCTGCAGACGTGAGACAAAGCTGTCAAGTTGGGATTAAAAGGATTTAGGATGAAGGAGTAGTGTGAACATTACAGGAAAGCGACAGTGGTGCGCCTGGGTGAACATGACTACAATGATGAAGGAGACGGAGCCGCTCATGAAGACTTCGGTGTGGCAGAGACCATCTTGCATCCTGACTACGTGCACCCCCAGGGCTACCACGACCTAGCTCTTCTCAAGCTAAACCGTAGAGTGATATTGAAGGTTCGTTTACCAATCCTATCTCTCTCTCTCTTGTCTTGGTTAAATTGCTGAAACCAAACCAATTACTAGATTGATTATTTTCCCTTGAGGTGAAGTGAGATGTAATTCATAGTAACTCGGCATTTTGTCTTGGTTACTTTGGTCTGGTTCTTATCAATACTTGCAAGTCTTCGGTCATTGCCGCTGTGTACTCACCAACATTTCCTCGGTCCTTGTTCAGCCCTAAAGAGACTTGTGAAGAAGACTTAGGGAAGACTTACAACCTCTTAGTCTCATGAACTGCTACTTGAGTATGTTAATAAATACTTACATCCTGATAATAATACCCGTATATAAGAGCATTAACTGTCTTAAATATTACCACCCAAACTACATCTTACTGAAGAGGAACAAATGGTGATGGGCTAAATAGGTGACAGTCCTAATAGATCAAATAGGTCACAGTCATAATGGTTGGATTCATTATATTTTTTAACAGGGAAATCTAACTGAATTTTGTTCTTGTTTCAGCCATTTATCAACCCGGTGTGTCTACCGTGGGGGCAGGAGAGCATCAACGACCTGACTGGCACGAAGGCTACTCTTACTGGCTGGGGTGCGACTCAGTTTGGTCAGTTCCTTCACTTTACTACCAAGAGATTAACACAATTCCCTTTTTTTCTTTATTCACACGTTACAATTTACCTTCTTGGTGTTTAATATGAATACAAAGTTTTTCTTGTTATCACATCAAACACCAGATTCTATAATAAATATTTATTATTATTATTATTATTATTATTATTATTATTATTATTATTATTATTATTATTATTATTATTTATTATTATTATTATTTTCTGCAGCTGGTGAGCCAAGCTCGGTGCTGCAGGAGGTGGAGATAACAGTATTCCCATCCTCAGACTGTGACAAGAGTTACTCTACTCTTGACGATTATCTCAAAGAGTTCCCAAGAGGCATCGGGAAGGAGACCGTGTGTGCTGGAGACCGAGTAGGAGGAAGAGACGCCTGCCAGGTAACAAACATTATAGTGTATTAATGAGGTGTTGCAGGTGTTGTCCTTCCATAAAGGAGTTATATAAGTGAATTGTCAAGTAATTTGTTTCCTTTATATATTTTTTCTTTTTTGTGTGGGACTGACAGTGGACGAGGATGTTTAGTTATAATTCATTTATTATGTTAACTTTATTAATTAAGTGTTGGTGTTAGTGGCGGACAAAGCTAGAGGTTCACCAGGTAGTAATTGTGTCATCACCTGAAGCAGCAGATTGTTGGTGTATTAATGTTTGTTTACTACAGTGTGTTTATATTGTTCATTAATTAATAATGTTGTGTGTTGTGGTCATTAGAGAGACTCTGGTGGCCCCTTGGTGTCGAGGAACTCAGCTGGGCTATACACCATGGCAGGCGTCGTGTCTCGTGGGGTTGGCTGTGGCCTCAAAGACTTCCCCGGCCTGTACGCCAACATCCGTGAGGAGCAGTACCTCGCCTGGGTCAAGAAGACTGCCTTCTAAGAACACCTTCCTCCTTCACAAGACTTTTAAAAGACTTTCTGACCAAATCTGGAATCCATTGATAAATATAGACCTATAGTTGCATATAAGTTCATCTCCTTGAATTGGTTAAATGTTATTTGAGTACTGAACAGGTGTGACCATTATTATATGACTCTGTTATTAAAGGTTTATGAGTCACAAGCATAGTTGACAAGGTTTATGATACATAACTAATGGGTGAAGTGTGTCACTGTCCAGAGAACACCGTTTACCACGCCCAGTTATAAACAAGTTATGTGTTCACCCTGACCTTGTTATATGAAGAACAAACAAGTTCAATATCAAGTTATGAAGTTCTTACTGAGAAATTTTACTGACAACTGAAATAAATCATTGTTAGACCAATAAATTATTACACATGATAATTGTTATATGATCCATTAAGTTATTTTATGCTATCATTTTAGAATAAATATTGATCACCTGACACAAGTTAAATGATTGTCCTTCTGCCTTTAAGTATGACAGAACTTCAACAACTAATAAGATGATCTTAGTATAACAAGAAAAGACATTTTATGTTAAGATAATATTGAGGAAACAGGGAGGTACTGTACTACCACCTGGGAAGATATTGCCCAACTGAGTTCCTCGACACCAAGGGGCCACCAGAGTCACTCTGATGACCACAACACACAACATTATTAATTAATGAACAATATAAACACACTGTAGTAAACAAACATTAATACACCAATAATCTGCTGCTTCAGGTGATGACACAATTACTACCTGGTGAACCTCTAGCTTTGTCCGCCACTAACACCAACACTTAATTAATAAAGTTAACATAATAAATGAATTATAACTAAACATCCTCGTCCACTGTCAGTCCCACACAAGGAAGAAAAATATATAAAAGAAACAAATTACTTGACAATTCACTTATATAACTCCTTTATGGAAGGACAACACCTGCAACACATCATTAATACACTATAATGTTTGTTACCTGGCAGGCGTCTCTTCCTCCCGCTCGGTCTCCAGCACACAAGGTCTCCTTCTCGATGCCTCCCGGCTACTGCCTGGTGTAGCCTAACAGAGTAGAGTTAGGTTAAGTTAGGTCTGGTTAGCATGGCTTAACTTAACACAGATGGTTAGTAACTCTCTCGGCTACGGAAGGAAAGGTTATTTTTGTCACCAATTTAATCAAAACATTTATAGTATACATATGTGTTGTAGGAAAATACTATATTTGTGAAACACTAAATTATAATAATAATAATAATAGTAATAATAATAATAATAATAATAATAATAATAATAATAATAATAATAATAATAATAATAATAATAATAATAATAATAATATTAATAATAAGGCTATCGTCACCGCGGGCATTTCCCTATACAATACACAAGGAACAAGTACTGTATCCCGCAACTGGCATCACTGTTAGTTGACGGTTATTAGTTGTTGTCTTCTGTATATGTCTTGTTCCCGTCTATCTTATCTCCATGATCATTATTTACGGTGTTTATTAACATTTTGGGAGGAACTGTCAAGACTGAAAAGGTTTTAATACTTGTGGTGGCGGAGCACCTGTGGGCGTGCGTCATGAACAGTGAAGTAACAAGAACTGTGAAGGTTGGTTCACCTTCCAGGTAAGTGTAAGGCCACGACACTGTTACCTTTGTTGTTGTGTGGCCACTATGACCAACTAATAACACCAAGGTGGGTGCAAAAGGTCACTGTGGCCAACATTCAACAACTTCAGTTTATTTATGTCTGTGTGAGTGTATGTATGAGTGCATGTATGTGAGTGTGTGTACTAGAGCATGTGTGTTAGTGTGTGTAGTAGTGCACGTGTGTGTGTTTGTGGGTACACGTGTCAGTGTGTTCACCACCACCACACCTGGGAGAACAAGTCTGGTGGATAGCAACGGGGCGACACGTGACCACTCTAGGAAAACTTGTCAAGCGCGCGCACACACTGATAAAAACACGCACACACAGACACACACGCACACACAGATAAAAACACGCACACACAGACACACACGCACACACAGACACACACGCACACACTCACACATACACACACACAAAAATACACACACTGACACAGGAGCACAGACGGGTCAAGACGGTCAAGACGCACCTGGCGCTGCTCAGCAGCAGCCACGTCAACTGTTATGTTGGCCCATACCAACTCCCTCCCCTGAACCCTCCTCCCCACCGGAATATAAACAAGTTCTCGCCAGAAGTTACTATTTCATTTGGGAAAGGAATGGAACCAGTGTTGAATAGTGGTGAATAGTGCTAAAGTCAGTGAAAAGCAACTCGGCAGTTGCAGTTGAGTCTTACCCAAGCTAACCTTCACACAGTGAGGTCCCAGGTATCCAGTGATAATTACCCTGAGACTCCACGATAGAGAGGCCTGGGACCACACCTCACTCACTTAAGTGAGTGAAGTCCTGTGACAACAGACCACGTGGTGTCCCCATGATGCTACGACACCACGTAGTGAATGAGTTGCTACAGCATCATGAGGTTCTTCATAACACCATCTGTGAGGGAATTACTACACCATGTGATGCCCTTCATAACACCATCTGTGAGGGAATTACTACGCTACATGATGCCCCTCATAACACCATCTGTGAGGGAATTACTACGCTATGTGATGCCCCTCATAACACCATCTGTGAGGGAATTACTACACTACATGATGCCCCTCATAACACCATCTGTGAGGGAATTACTACGCTATGTGATGCCCCTCATAACACCATCTGTGAGGGAATTGTTACACCACATCAGGCCCCTCATACACCATCTGTGAGGAAATTACTACACCATATCAGGATAGGTTAAAGAAACTAAACTTGCATTCCCTAGAAAGACGAAGAGTGCGGGGAGATATGATAGAAGTATTCAAGTGGGTGAAAGGAATCAATAAAGGTGATATAGATAAAGTTCTTATAATATCCGAGCAGGATAGGACTCGGAACAACGGATTCAAATTGGATAAGTTTAGGTTTAGGAGGGAGATAGGAAGGAACTGGTTTACAAATAGGGTGGTGGACGAGTGGAATAAGCTTAGCAACTTTGTAGTAAGTGCTGGAACGCTGGAAAGTTTCAAAGGGAGGCTGGATAGATTTATGGATGATAGAGAGTGGTAGTAACTCTCGACAGGAGCTGCCATGCACAGGCCAACCGGCCTATTGCAGACTCCTTATTTTCTTATGTTCTTATGTTATAACACCATCTGTGAGGGAATTACTACATCATCAGGCCCCTCATACACCATCTGTGAGGGAATTACTACACCACATCAAGCCCCTCATAACACCATCTGTGAGGGAACTACTACTCCACGTGATGCCCCTCATAACACCATCTGTGAGGGAGTTACTACACTACGTGTCTGCTGTTCAACACCTCAGCTCATATGATCTACGTGACCTCCGCTGTAAACATTAATCTGTATGTCCTTCACCTTTCTCTAATGAAGGCTTTTGTTAAACCACCAATGTATGTAATAAGACATTTATGTCCAATGTATATTTTCGGCCTTCGGGCTGCAAAACTTTTTAAATAAACCGTTTATTACATGTACACACACGAGCACACACATGCACACACACCGCACCGATAGATATAAGAACAGCACCATCCCATCTATTGTTAAAATAATAAACAACTCCTGATTTATGTACTGTACAGCCCTGTAAATGTATTCAATGCATATTATATCATTATGTCTAAAACAAATGTAAGTCTGTATATTTTCAGCCACCGGCTGCAACTCTATTAATAAACCGTTTAATATTATTATTATTATTATTATTATTATTATTATTATTATTATTATTATTATTATTATTACATACTCACATACATGCACATGCGCGCTCGCATCTGTGTGTGTGTATGTATGTATGTGTGTGTGTGTGTGTGTGTGTGTGTGTGTGTGTGTGTGTGTGTGTGTGTGTGTGTGTGTGTGTGTGAATGTATGTGTGTGTGTGTGTGTATATATGTGTGTGTGTGTGTGTGTGCGTGTGTGTGTGTGAGTTATCTAACATGTAGGCAAATGCACACAAAAAAATCTATTGAGAAAGTCTGGCTGAAGAGGTCACCTTGATGATCATTTCCAGAATCTTACTGATGTACACTTTGATAATTCATGCCCAGAACACGTGACATCATTGCTTGATTCTAATTGTGTTATTCTGTCTTTAATGTCGAGTATTATAGTAGTTTGTGCCATCCCTCAAATAGTACGTCCACGTTACGTCACTGTTTGTACATGTATTACTATATATTGTGAACAAAGCAGTATGACAGTGAACACATTATTTTAGAAATCAGATTATGGCAACTCCAGCAGCAACTCTTATAAGACGACCAGATCCGGTTGAGGTCTCAGTTGTGTTGTGGATCCAGGTGTGTGAGGAGGGAACATGTGGGGCCATACGCAGGTGTCTCTGGTGTTGGTGGCTCTTGTTGTGTTGGCCACAGTGGTAAACACTCAGAAACCGAGTGAGTATCCTGGTCCACTGTGGCCAATATATGTTGTTAGAATAACTAAACATTGCCACACTGGTCAAGACGTGTGTGTGTGGTGATGGAATAAGTAATCTCTAGGCTGCCACACACTAGCAGGTGGGACTAACTAATAAACACTCTGCTCTTCTCTCTTCCGCATCAGTAAACATACTGGACCTGCCGGCAGGGTCTTCCTGCACAGCTCACACAGGCGGCCCCGGAACCTGTCTTAATATCCGCAAGTGTCCATTTGTTGGTCAGACGTACCGCCTCAACATGCCAGTCATATGTGGGTACAGCGGCGTCTTCCCCATTGTCTGTTGCCCTTCAACTGGAGGTAATTGTCCTCTGTTATGTATCAAGTATTATAGACGTCATGTGAATACTCCGTGAAGGATTGAAATGTTTACATTATTGAAGTTTAGTCTGTCTGTCTGTCTCTTTCTGTCTATCTCTCTATGTCGAGTGTTGCTGTAGTAACTTAAATTATTTTAGACCTAATTATAGTACAGTTGAATAAAGTATGCATAAGAATTCAGAGGAGAATGACAAGACTAATCCCGGGCATTAGGAACCTTGAGTATAGAGACAGGTTAAAGCATCTTAATTTGCACTCCCTTGAGAGACGTAGAGCGAGGGGCGACCTGATAGAGGTGTATAAGTGGAAGGCAGGGCTAAACAAAGGGGACATTACAAAGGTACTCAAACTATCCAACCAGGAGCGAACTCGTAACAATGGTTTTAAATTAGACAAATTTAGATTTAGGCGTAAAATAGGTAAACACTGGTTTGGAAACAGAGTAGTGGATGAATGTAACAAGTTACCAAATATCATCATTAACTCGAATACGCTGAATTGCTTCAAACATAGGTTGGATGCTCATATGAGCAATAGGGGTTGGGTGTAAACGGGACTGCCCAGTATGGGCCAATAGGCCCGCTGCAGTTTCCTCCATTCTTATGTTCTTATGTTCTTATGATAGTTGGACCTTCTCACACACACACACACAAACACCTACTGAACTCCTCATAAAATCATGGCTCACCGATAGAACGCAGAGGGTCAGCGTAGATGGTGGTAAATCTGAGTGGGGCCGTGTAACCACTGGGGTTCCCCAGGGGTCAGTACTAGGCCCACTCTTGTTCATAATCTACATAAACGATCTAGATACTGGGATCAGCAGTGACATAAGCAAGTTTGCGGATGACACCAACATAGGGCGGCAAATTTATTCAGGGCAGGATGCAAATGCATTACAGGAGCATCTAAATAAACTGCAGGGGTGGTCTGAAAATGGCAAATGAAATTCAACACCAGCAAGTGCAGCGTACTTAATATTGGAAGAACAAATACTTATAAGGTATACAGCCTTAACAAAATCAACCTAGAGAAGTCGACTTGTGAAAGAGACCTAGGGGTACTTGTAAGCCCGGACCTACGGCCTAGAAAACAGTGCGTTAACGTTCGAAATAAGGCAAACAGAGTATTGGGTTTTATATCTAGAAGTGTAAGTAACAAGAGTGCAGAGGTCTTATTACAACTATATCTTGCGCTAGTCAGGCCGCACATCCATTATGCGGTTCAGTTCTGGTGCCCCTATTATAGAATGGATATAAATTCACTAGAGTCGGCGCAGCGAAGAATGACAAAAATGATTCCGGGACTTAGAAACCTTCCATATCAGGATAGGTTAAAGAAACTTAACTTGCATTCCCTAGAAAGACGAAGAGTGCGGGGAGATATGATAGAAGTATTTAAGTGGGTGAAAGGAATCAATAAATGGGATATAGATAAAGTTCTTATAATATCCGAGCAGGATAGGACTCGGAGCAACGGATTCAAGTTGGATAAGTTTAGGTTTAGGAGGAGATAGGAAGAAACTGGTTCACAAATAGGGTGGTGGACGAGTGGAACAAGCTTAGCAACTTTGTAGTAAGTGCGGGAACTCTGGAAAGTTTCAAAAGGAGGCTAGATAGATTCATGGATGATAGAGAGTGGTAGTAACTCTCGACAGGAGCTGCCATGCACAGGCCAACTGGCCTATTGCAGACTCCTTATTTTCTTATTTTCTTATGTACACATACCTGTACACTGAAGGATGTGTTAGGACAGATATTAACGAAGGTGTCAATGTTTCAGGAGACAACACAGCGGCCATCGGGGACATCTCTCCACCTTCCGTCAGCTTCCGTAAGTAACCAGAAAGTTCATATTTGTTGTACTTGTTACTTTTATTTATAATATATATGTGAAAAAAAAATAACACTACCGGCAGCAACATTGAGTTTACAAACTTACCAACGTTACAGAATGTGGAACAAACCCCCGGAAAACTTTTACTTTGTTACTCAAGAGTCTTGGTGATGAGGTCATCTTGAGGCCTGAAGCTACCACCAGTCGCCCGGTGGCGTTTGAGAGACCCACTCCCTCCGGGGAGTCTGCCATCTCCAGTCGACCTCGCCCTGGAATTCCTGCGGACGCTTTTAATGATCCGTCGGCGCGTGTGGAACGTCCACTTTCTTCTGTAAAGCGCCAAGAAGGTGGCTTGGCCGCACAAGCACATCCTGCGGGTTCACTAGAGCCCATAAATGGTGCTGTAGGCTTCGCAGTTGGTGGAGTAATAGCCGAAAAGAACGCCTGGCCATGGATGGTGAGGAACTCTTTGATATTTCTTTTGAATATATTGACACAATATATAAACACACACATTATCATAGTTATTATAGATAAGTTTGGCAGCTTCCTGATTCATTATCATCTTATATGGAGTTTCTTTGTCAGTAACTGAGTTTTTCACACTAGACTATGTGATGTAGGAATAAGTTAAAATAATGGTAATAGCTGCAGGACACTGAAACACAAGGTGAATGTCACAATGTATGTGATTTCTGCAGGCACTGCTCGGGGACACCAATGAACAGGGCAAGATCACATGGTTCTGTGCAGGAGCGCTCATCAACGAGCAGTGGGTCCTTTCCGCTCTTCATTGTTTCTTGTTCACGTAAGTAGAGGATGACGTAAATCTTTACATAAACTTATAATACAAGGTCAGGTGTAACAGGTGTGTGGTCGGTGTCAGGCAAACAGTGGCAGGGGGAAGTGAACTATTTGATCTGGTGTAGCTGTCTAGACAGTGTTTGTGGCGGGCTGGTGGGGAACGTTGGACTTGTGGACGCTAATAGTGGCTCATGTCTATGGGGAGTAAGTTAAGGCTCTCAGAGATAAACTTCAACCTTACTATAGTGTAGTAGTAACCTCAGAGACTGGTAGATGATCCCTCAGACGTGAGACAAAACTGTCTTGTTGAACTTTAATGCAATATTATGGAAGTCGTCAAATAATGATGTTTATGTCTCCAATGACTGATAAATAACTTTGGATTAACACTTGTAAAATCTTAACCACGTCGCCTAAATTATGCCTTAATTTATCTTTTAACAGAAGTCACTTATTGCGTAAAAAATGGCATTCGGATTAAAAGGAATTAGGATGATTGAATGATCTAAACATTACAGGACAGTGACAGTGGTGCGCCTGGGTGAACATGACTACAATGATGATGGAGACGGCGCCGTTCATGAGGACTTCGGTGTGGCAGAGACCATCTTGCATCCTGACTACGTGCACCCCCAGGGCTACCACGACCTAGCTCTTCTCAAGCTAAACCGTAGAGTGATATTGAAGGTTCGTTTACCAATCCTATCTCTCTCTCTCTTGTCTTGGTTAAATTGCCGAAACCAAACCAATTACTAAGATTGATTATTTTCTCTTGAGGTGAAGTGAGATGTAATTCATAGTATCTCCGCATTTTGTCTTGGTTACTTTGGTCTGGTTCTTATCAATACTTGCAATTCTTCGGTCATTGCCTCTGTGTACTCACCAACATTTCCTCGGTCCTTGTTCAGCCCTAAAGAGACTTGTGAAGAAGACTTAGGGAAGACTTACAACCTCAAAGTCTCATGAACTGCTACTTGAGTACGTTAATAAATACTTACATCCTGATAATAATACCCGTATATAAGAGCATTAACTGTCTTAAATATTACCACCCAAACTACATCTTGCTGAAGAGGAACAAATGGTGATGGGCTAAATAGGTGACAGTCCTAATAGATCAAATAAGTCACAGTCATAATGGTTGGATTCAGTTATATTTTTTTAACAGGGAAATCTAACTGAATTTTGTTGTTGTTTCAGCCATTCATCAACCCGGTGTGTCTACCGTGGGGGCAGGAGAGCATCAACGACCTGACTGGCACGAAGGTTACTCTTACTGGCTGGGGTGCCACTCAGTTTGGTCAGTTCCTTCACTTTACTACCGAGAGATTAACACAATTCCCTTTTTTTCTTTATTCACACGTTACAAATTACCTTCTTGGTGTTTCATTTGAATACAAAGTTTTTCTTGTTATCACATCATACACCAGATTCTATAATAAATATTTATTATTATTATTATTATTATTATTATTATTATTATTATTATTATTATTATTATTATTATTATTATTATTATTATTATTATTATTATTTTCTACAGCTGGTGAGCCAAGCTCGGTGCTGCAGGAGGTGGAGATAACAGTATTCCCATCCTCAGACTGTGACAAGAGTTACTCTACTCTAGACGATTATCTCAAAAAGTTCCCAAGAGGCATCGGGAAGGAGACCGTGTGTGCTGGAGACCGAGCGGGAGGAAGAGACGCCTGCCAGGTAACAAACATTATAGTGTATTAATGAGGTGTTGCAGGTGTTGTCCTTCCATAAAGGAGTTATATAAGTGAATTGTCAAGTAATTTGTTTCTTTTATATATTTTTCTTTTTTGTGTGGGACTGACAGTGGACGAGGATGTTTAGTTATAATTCATTTATTATGTTAACTTTATTAATTAAGTGTTGGTGTTAGTGGCGGACAAAGCTAGAGGTTCACCAGGTAGTAATTGTGTCATCACCTGAAGCAGCAGATTGTTGGTGTATTAATGTTTGTTTACTACAGTGTGTTTATAGTGTTCATTAATTAATAATGTTGTGTGTTGTGGTCATCAGAGTGACTCTGGTGGCCCCTTGGTATCGAGGAACTCAGCTGGGCAATACACCATGGCAGGCGTCGTGTCTAGTGGGGTTGGCTGTGGCCTCAAGGACTTCCCCGGCCTGTACGCCAACATCCGTGAGGAGCAGTACCTCGCCTGGGTCAAGAAGACTGCCTTCTAAGAACACCTTCCTCCTTCACAAGACTTTTATAAGACTTTCTGACCAAATCTGGAATCCATTGATAAATATAGACCTATAGTTGCAAAGAAGTTCATCTCCTTGAATTGGTTAAATGTTATTTGAGTACTGAACAGGTGTGACCATTATTATATGACTCTGTTATTAAAGGTTTATGAGTCACAAGCATAGTTGACATCAACAAGGTTAATGGTACATAACTAACTGGAGAAGTGTGTCACTATCCAGAGAACTTCGTTCACCACGCCCAGTTTGTGACAAGTTATGTGTTCACCCTGACCTTGTTATATGAAGAACAAGCAAGTTCAATATCAACTTATTAAGTTCTTACTGAGAAATTTTACTGACAACTGAAATAAATCATTGTTAGACCAATAAATTATTACACATGATAATTGTTATATGATCCATTAAGTTATTTTATGCTATCATTTTAGAATAAATATTGATCACCTGACACAAGTTAAATGATTTTCCTTCTGCCTTTAAGTATGACAGAACTTCAACAACTAATAAGATGATCTTAGTATAACAAGAAAAGACATTTTATGTTAAGATAATATTAAGGAAACAGGGAGGTACTGTACTACCACCTGGGAAGATATTGCCCAACTGAGTTCCTGGACACCAAGGGGCCACCAGAGTCACTCTGATGACCACAACACACAACATTATTAATTAATGAACAATATAAACACACTGTAGTAAACAAACATTAATACACCAACAATCTGCTGCTTCAGGTGATGACACAATTACTACCTGGTGAACCTCTAGCTTTGTCCGCCACTAACACCAACACTTAATTAATAAAGTTAACATAATAAATGAATTATAACTAAACATCCTCGTCCACTGTCAGTCCCACACAAAGAAGAAAATATATAAAAGAAACAAATTACTTGACAATTCACTTATATAACTCCTTTATGGAAGGACAACACCTGCAACACCTCATTAATACACTATAATGTTTGTTACCTGGCAGGCGTCTCTTCCTCCGGCTCGGTCTCCAGCACACACGGTCTCCTTCTCAATGCTCCCGGCTACTGCCTGGTGTAGCCTAACAGAGTAGAGTTAGATTAAGTTAGGTCTGGTTAGCATGGCTTAACTTAACACAGATGGTTAGTAACTCTCTCGGCTACGGAAGGAAAGGTTATTTTTGTCACCAATTTAATCAAAACATTTATAGTATACATATTTGTTGTAGGAAAATACTATATTTGTGAAACACTAAATTATAATAATAATAATAATAATAATAATAATAATAATAATAATAATAATAATAATAATAATAATAATAATAAGGCTATCGTCACCGCGGGCATTTCCCTATACAATACACAAGGAACAAGTACTGTATCCCGCAACTGGCATCACTGTTAGTTGACGGTTATTAGTTGTTGTCTTCTGTATATGTCTTGTTCCCGTCTATCTTATCTCCATGATCATTATTTACGCTGTTTATTAACATTTTGGGAGGAACTGTCAAGACTGAAAAGGTTTTAATACTTGTGGTGGCGGAGCACCTGTGGGCGTGCGTCATGAACAGTGAAGTAACAAGAACTGTGAAGTTTGGTTCACCTTCCAGGTAAGTGTAAGGCCACGGCACTGTTACCTTTGTTGTTGTGTGGCCACTATGACCAACTAATAACACCAAGGTGGGTGCAAAAGGTCACTGTGGCCAACATTCAACAACTTCAGTTTATTTATGTCTGTGTGAGTGTATGTATGAGTGCATGTATGTGAGTGTGTGTACTAGAGCATGTGTGTTAGTGTGTGTAGTAGTGCACGTGTGTGTGTTTGTGGGTACACGTGTCAGTGTGTTCACCACCACCACACCTGGGAGAACAAGTCTGGTGGATAGCAACGGGGCGACACGTGACCACTCTAGGAAAACTTGTCAAGCGCGCGCACACACTGATAAAAACACGCACACACAGACACACACGCACACACAGATAAAAACACGCACACACAGACACACACGCACACACAGACACACACGCACACACTCACACATACACACACACAAAAATACACACACTGACACACACGAGCATACACATGCACACACATACTGATGTACATACACATGCGCGCTTGCATCTGTGTGTGTGTGTATGTGTGTGTGTGTGTGTGTGTGTGTTTGTATGTGTGGTTATGTGTGTGTGTGTGTATGTATATGTGTGTGTGTGTGTGTGTGTGTGTCTAACTCCGGCGGGCAACTGAAAAGGTATAAGGATAGTCTTCAGACAAACCTGAAAAAGTGCCAAATCGACCCCCTCACCTGGGACCAGATCACTCCACATCGTGACGCTTGGAGGATCCTGCCACACGAGAAGGTGTCAATACTTTCCAGTTAGCCCGATACAAACCAGGCAGACAAGCGTCAACGCCGGAAACACGCAGCCACCGCCCCTCCAGCACTCGATGTAGCCCTCCACGTATGCAACCTCTGTCGAACATCTCCTGCCGGTCCCGTATCGGCCTCTTTAGTCACCTCAAAACTCACCAATAATAGAAGGGACATCCTAATAACTCGTATCTTTGTATCATCGCTGGATGATCTTGAACTCGATACCAAGTGACAACCAAAGTAGTAGTAGAACTGCGGCTCAACTAA